CCTCGCCAAATGGCCTCAACCCTACGAGCCGCTCCTGCAAAAGGATCTAGAATCGGTAGGGTGTTGTCAGGTTCAATCCCAACATCTGCTAGGTGAAAGTCTGATGCACTACCTACTAGGCTAGCTCCTATTAGAGGAGTTATAGCAGCAACTCTTTTACTTGAAGAGTTGGACCCAGTAGGTCTATTGCTTCTGGTTTAGGCAGACCCGACCTGCCTCACCCACTCAAAGGCCAATGCCCCGTCGTCTACCTAGCAGGCGTTTGGTCATGCAGCCCTGTGGACCAGCCTTTAAGCCACGAGTCCGACATCGGCCCCGGACGGTCCATCCCCATAACAAAAATAATATAATTAATAATAATAAATAAATAAATAACGTAGCCCACACGTTCAACCCTCGCCCATATAAGCTTCACTACCGACCTTCTTTTGCCGTCAAGGTTCTAAATCGTGTGGCCGCCCGACCGCGCGTTCTTACAAAAGGTAAGACTAGCCCTTCCGCGTGTTTGCTGATCACGGGGGGGAGGGGGGGGGATGTTTAACTGTGGTCTAATCCTTGCCAAAAAAATTATAAACATCAGATATCAAACTCAAAGTTCAAGGTCACAGGATAAGTTAGGACAACCTTCTGACAATTAGCCCTATCCTCATTAAGTCGAAATCCTACCATCCCTCAGACAGTGTGCGACATGGAAAGCTTCGGGCAGATGCCCTTGTTAGGGTTTCTGGCATGACAACGACTTATCTCTCGGTGTTTCGTGCATGGTGTAAAGTCGCTCATGCCCGTTGAACAATCAACAGATTGGGGAAGGTGTTATGCACTGCCAGCAGCAGACCCATGCAAATCATCGCCTGCCACCATGAAAGACTGCGGCGGATGGGATGGAGGAAAACCATTTGTACCAGAGGTGTTAGGTGAAGCACGGGAGGAGCAGGAAAAGCGGTCGGGGATGAAGGAGAACCATTCGTACTAAAGGTGCAACTTGAAGCACGGGAAAAGCAGGAAAAGCGGTCGCCGGTCTTGCTACACCGGTAACTGTTGGATCTCCGTTCTAAGCGGGCAAGGCGGTAGAGAACCGTGCAAAGGTGGAAGACAACCCTATATTTGGAAAAAGTGCCCATCCACGTCATAAAGTCCATGAAACCCACAGAGTGGAAACATCCTCTTCCAACCTTCCAAGCCGCCGCAACCGGTTTGTGGAGTTACGAAAAACCACTCACGAACGCAACTACGTGCCCACTTCAATTGGCGTACTATTTTTTTGCCTTTTACAAAAGAATACCGTGGGGTGAGCACACTAAGTAGTTTACGCAAATTTTTGTCGGGCCCTCGCTCCGTCAAGAAGCCAAAAAAAAAAAAAGCCACTCGCGGGTGTCGGAAACCACTCGCGGTTCAGGGGTTAGGAACCAGCAGGCATTCCGGAAGGAGAAGAAGTAATACGAAGGGAGTTATCGAAGACTTCAGGTATGTCTCCATCAAGAGTCAGGTGGGGAAGAGAATGTTGTGAGAAGGATGGGGAGTCCTCAAGTCACCCGGGTGTGTCATCGTCGATGGAAAGCTCAGCGATGTCTGGCAGTAGAGATAGAGATAAACAACAGGAGGAGGATGTAGGACGGATTCCGGACAAAGACCGAAGGGCAGATACGGTTGAAAGAAATATGATGGAGTCGGTCCAGTGGTGTCTGATCTCACTGATCTGCTCCAGGACCGCCGAAGGCACTTGCTTCATGATAGTCTCAGACAGGGAAGGTGAGTTATCCCCTCGACGTTGGTGGATCAATCTCCCACACCAGGAAGGATCCTCGAGGTAACAAAGAAGTTGTTTGGAGAGCACATTTCAGTAAGGCTGATCTTGCATTCCACCATGGTTCATGTTATCTGCGAGTTAGTCCAGGGGTATATCAAGATGTATTTCCCTCTACTAGACACACGTGTTCCTCCGGAGGTCGCGGACACACTCACCTAGGCTGGAATTAGGTGGTTTCATATGGACCTTGTCCGAGAGCAGAACTCGAGCGACCTGAAATATATCAAAGTCTTCCTTGGTATCTCAACGCTTGTACTAATGAATGTGAATGACACCAAGAGAGGATTTGCACTCGAACTTCCTCGCAGGAAAACTTATGGAGAAGTGGCGCTCATCATCTTCACGATCCGGATCAAGTCGGAGTGGATCGCACCTCCGCTCCAGAGACACGGCAACAAGGAATCTGGCAGGAGCACACCCCCAGACGGAGGCACGGACAGATACCCACGTCCAAGTACATGCGGATGACAACAAAACAAATGGATAGAATCATAGCGGTAACCTGGAACGTGCGGGGGGTAGGAGACTCAAATGGAAGAGCCAAAAGGAGGCGTGTTGTGATACGCAACCTCACGCCCCCTCGCGGCTTCCCGTACTAGGTCGCCGATCAGAGTTCTAGGAGGGGCGTGGCCGAGGGTTTTTGGCCGTAGGGGTTGAGTCTCCCGGACGGAACGAGAGGCTCTCGTTTCGTGCCAGAGGTTACCCCGGAGTCGAACTATCGTCGCGAAGTCCCGTGGGGGTCGGATCGCTCCGAAACGATAAAATCAGAAGGGTTTCCGAGAAAACAAACTGTCGTCGTGCATCAGGACGGGAAAAGACCTCAAGGGGAGAGGGCCATGGCGGCGTGAGACAAAACGTCGGTCGTCAGGGGTTTGGGGGATAGGCGGTGGGTTCGAAGCCTTCAGGCCTCGTCGTCGGCCTCACGAAGTGACCGACCCATCGGGTCTTTGCTATAGAGGTGGTTGGTTCGAGGCCTTCAAGCCTCAGCGTCGGACTCACAGAGTCCGAGTGGAAGGTTCCGGGAGGGTAAAGCGGCGGAAGGACTCGCTGGCATCCGAATTCGAAATTGCATAGGCAGCGCCCCCGCACTACGGGAAAGCTCGGGGAAACGTGTCGCTCCCTCGTAACCCAGGACCAGTCGTCGCCAAGAACACGAGTCCCCCTGGCGACACCAGCGACAATTAAACTGCGGCCGCCACGCGGCGTGAGCGGCCGACCAGGGCAACACAGTCAAACCCGTATAAGGCAATATTAGAGTCGGGGAATCAAAACGCTCAATCAAGACAAACCCGTTCCCCCTTATATCACCAGCCTGAGGAGGGTCTCGCCAGCACACTTGCTCCGTTCGCCTCAGCGTGCGCCGTACGTCCGCATCGCAGTAGACGCTATCGTCATCTGTGATGGGGAAGGTCGGTACCGAGATAAGACGATCGGAGATAGGCGATGAACACGGGCAAGATCCCTCGCTCCCAGTCATCCAAACCAACATCAACTCCATACAACACTCGATGCAACCTTCTCTCTCTGGGTTAGCGCGTCGGAGGAAGATGGCGAAATCGAAGTTTTCTTCCCCTTGCGGGGGCGTTGACCGCGCGCGCGGACGCAGGCGGTTGACGTCACCGGTACGGGGACGAGAAGCTCAAAAAGGAAGGCGGGAGACAAAGGGAGAGAGCTTACACCAGTAACGCGGGTGCGCGCGCGAAGGGCCGCAGAAGGGAGGGGAACAACGGGATTAACACACTCGTACTCCTAGGCAGACGGTCCCCCAGTTCAGTTTCCCCGTCCCCACCTGGACAAGTACATACACACATGCATGCAAACAATCAACAACCCTTGACAGGACATCTAATCATCCATAGACCTTCGACATCACTCATGCGCACAACCAGCTCCCATCACTCGGGGCTTCACACACACGACATGCATGGACAAAGCAGCAATGGAGATAAAAGTGAGTCCTTCTGGTACACAAAA